TCCATCTCAATGACAAAATAAGTAGTTGTCATTGTACATCACAAGGGTCTACCTTTTAGACAAGTGATCCCTGTTTTCTTTCATGTAATGAACTATTTGGGGATGTGTGTGTATATATATGGAACTCATCTGGCAATTAGAAATGCTGCCTATTAGTAACTGTAATATTTTTAGATGGTCTGATATATAGTGAAAAGCACAAATGTTCTGAGTCAGAAGAGCAGGGTTTGCATCTTAGCCAACTAAAAGTGTTCATTTTTTTAAAATAAAAAATAAAAAAATAAAAGTGTTGCACCTTGGGCAAATCATGTGGGCCCTTCTGTGTTTTGGTTCCCTCTGTCAACAGGCTAATAATTTTACCTATCTTGTAGGCTATACCTGAGTGTTCAATGGGGGCAACATTGCTAATGTGCCTTTGTAAAGCCAAAAGGGCCCTCACAGCCATCTTTGTTGTATGTGGACCTGTGTGATGTTTCAGGGGACCGAGATCTCCCTGTTTGTGTAGCTCCATGAGGCTGAGTGTGCATACTCAGATCAGATTTGCTGACTTGCTGGAGTCCTTGGGTTGTTGGGGAGTTGGAGGTATTCAAGATACTCTCCCCTGACTCATCCTTAAGGAGGCCGGGGTCCAGCATGGGTCAAGGTATCTGGATGGGCCATTCATTCACTCACTTAACAATTATTAATTGAGTGCTACTCTGGTCTAGGTACTTGGGATAAACTGGTTTATCAGACTGACAAACATCTGGTCCCAGAGGCTTACATTCTAGTGAAAGAAAAAGATCCAATAATCAATGACATAAATAAATACATAATTTCAAAGAACTCGAGGTACAGAAAATACAGCAAAACAAAGGATAGAAAGTAGGAGTGGAGACCCCCTTTTTTTTTTTGAACAATTTCAGATCTACGGGGAAGTTGAAATAACAATATGCAATGAACACTCATTTTTCCATTGCCTAAATCCACATTATTATGCCACATTTGTCTTCTCTCCCTCTTCTAGGTGTGCAGGTCTTTATATGTTTGCATACACATGTGTTTGTTGTCGTTGAAACCTTTAAAGTAAGTTACAGATAGCATGAAACTTTACCTCTAAATAGTCCAACAAATACCTCCCAAGAATAAGACATTCACCTGTACAAACCACAGTGCCATTATGACTCAAAAATTAATAATATAGGGGCACCTGAGTGCCTCAGTTGGCTAAGTGTCTGGCTCTATTTTGGCTCAGGTCATAATCTCAGTTTGTGAGTTTGAGCCCCACATCAGGCTCTGTGCTGACAGTCTCTCTCTCCCAAAATAAAAAAAAAAAACTTTAAGAAATGTTTATTTATTTATATAGAGAAAGAGAGAGCATGCGTGAGCAAGGGAGAGGGAGAGAGAGAGAGAGAGAATCCCATGCAAGCTCTGCACTGTCAGCACAAAGCCTGACACGGGGCTCAAACTCACAAACCCATGAGAGCATAACTGCAGCTGAAACCAAGATTTGGACACTTAACTGACGGAGCCACCCAGGCACCCTCTATATGATTTTTTTAAACATTAAGATTTTTTTTACACATTTCTCATATTGGATTAGGATAATTAATGCTAAGTGCCATAGCAGGCAACTCCTGAAATCTCAGCTTACACAATAAAATTTTATTTCTTGCACATGTAAAATCTGGTAAGATGGGGCATCTCTCCTTATAGCCTCACCATCTGGTATATGTAACCTCCCAAGTGGCCTTGGATGCCCGGAGGAGAAGGGTGGAAGAAGACACTGGCTGTTCCTTGCTTTTCTCCAGGGGGTGAGGGAGTGTCATCACTTCTGCTGACACTTCAAAGGTGCCAGCTGGTCTCATCACTGGGCCATGTAAGGGAGTACTTGGAGTAGCTGGAGCGGGTCAGTGTTCTCTCCCCAGATATTACATGTGAAAGGAGGAAACTCTCAATAATGGCGTCTTCAGGGCCATCTGAGGGGGTGGCCGTGGCACTAGGGGTAGACTTTACAGTAGGAGAAGCAAAGAAGTTAGATGCGTTGTCTTCTCTTAGCACTCTCATCTGGAAAGCTAACTTTTCTCTTTCCTCTTGGCTTCAGGGTTCCTCTTGAAACTTTTGAAGACCTGGGCCCCAGGTGAAAGAGGCCTGATGTTACCTCTTCAGTCAAATTCTGGTTTAGGCCAGAGAGGCAGAGAGGGTGTTCAAGGTCCACAGTCTGGGTCTTGCAGATATGGGACTTGGTAGGTGTTTGGGATCAAAACAGTGGGCATTAACGAGGCAAGGATTTATCTCGATTATTCCTGATTAGTCCAGATGCCCTTGGATTCCTGCATCCAGCATCACAGCCTGTTGTTGTCACTAAAGACAGGAATTCATATCATGTGAAGAGCTAAATTCAGAAACACAATCGCAGCTTCAAAGCACAAGGCTTTGGAGGTTTAGCCCGTATCTGGCAGCCTGAAGGAAGCTGGACCAGCTCTAGGCAGTCCGACAGACCAATCAGTCACCCCGCCACGCCCCTTCTCTGTGGCTCCTGAGGGGAAGGCAGAAGGCTGAACAGCCATTATAAGCCTGCTGTGTTCTAAATCCTTTCTCCTAGGATCACTTGAGGGTCTAGTATATCCATCTGTTTCTCATTCATGACTCTTAGGGGACTAGGCTGCCCAGAAATTCTGACTGCTCACATTTGCTTCTGTGGCACTCGAGGAACACGTGACTGAGGTACGATAGGTAAGAGACAAAGGTTTGGAGTCATAGAGACCTAAATGGCAGAGATATTTAATACTCATAAATACCTATGTACATCCCACCAGCCTTTCCATCCCCCCAGTGATTCCCTAACCATCCTGCTGTTGAGCAGAACCATGTGACTCACTCTGTGGGCAATGGCTGTGAGTGTTTCATGCTTCTTTTTTTCCTCTGCTTCATGGGCCTGGAATCTAGGTCTTCCAGAAGCTAGAATCTTCCCTGCTGGCCTGGGTCCTTGAGTACTGTGGGAGCAGAGCCTCCCCTAAACCTCAACCTGAGTGAGGCATGTAAGGTGAGTAAGGTGAGTTTTGAGGGTACTAAACCATTAAATTCGGGGTTTCATTTCTGGTTACCACAGCGTAACCTAACCAATTATGCCTAAGGCAGGATTTACAACCTCATCTAGTCTCTGCCATTTGATATTGTTGGCCCCCATGTTCTCATCTGTAAAGTGGGGATAATAATACCTCCTGCAGTGTCTGTCTGGTCATTTTGTCTGTCCTGCATCCATGGTGGCGGGGCGGGGGGGGGGGGGGGGGGGGGGTGGTGGTAAATTCTCCTTCTCCTCTAACACCGTGGTGATTCTTGTCAATGTAGGGACTCACCTTCCCTCCCATGGGCCAGCCAATCAGAGAGCCACATCCTCATGGACATACTGACTGGACCAAGGGATGGTCAAGGGACCCCAAAATGGTTAATTGGAGTCTATTTTCTAGGCTGGCATGGATGTTGTAAGACCAAGTCTCTTTCCATGTAAACCTGAAGCTGTGAGATGCCATTTTTTCCCACTCAGACAAAAAAGCAGCACCTGTGGATACTGGGAGAGCCACAAGCTTCACCTAGCCCTGGACTTTTTGATACACCAACTCATAAATCTCTCTCTCTCTCTCTCTTTCTCTCCTTAAGGCAGTTTGAGTTGGGGTTCAGACACCTGCAACAAAAAGTCTTGACCAATGCACCAACCTTGGAGAGTTATTGTAAAAATTAAACAAAATAATTTATTAAAGTGCCTGACACATTATAAGCTGATGCTATTATGACTGAGGTTGGTTGCTAGGGGTTCTAGCTTATTCCTTATCCTCCTCAATCCTTTAGGAAGGAGTTCATAAACTGAAACCACATGATTCTGCGCTCACAGGATTTTTTCCACTGGGCTGTATACGTCCTTGCTGTGTCCTTTGTTGCCTTTGAGGGACATCCTAAGAAGCAGCTACTTGAAAACCTTTATTGCATATGCTATAGGGATATTGTCTACAGCTTTACTCAGGGTCCCATCTAGAAATATACATTAAGAAATCTTTCTCAGACTTATGTGGGAAGGAAAATTTGACTTCCCCCAAAGTGGTACTTCTCCAACTTTTTCACCCTCATCATCAGAAAAGACTGAACTCATACTTCCAGGAGGCACAGCCCTCAGCACGGGGAGCACGATTTCTTCTGTTTATGTTAAAAATTCATGTGACTTTTGTATTCTCCACTAGACATCCATGTTTATTTTTATGGATGTTGTAAATCCTGCATCAGATCTTTGGTTGCCTCAAGGTTGACATGAAATTTCTAATTTCTCTTCAATAATGATGGCCAGAGTATATAGACTGCAACCTACATCCTTGTCTCGATATCCTAATTGCTCTACAATTTCTCTGATCCTGATTGTAGTTTATTTATAACTTTCTATTTTCTGGTATATTTTCTTGTGAATTGCTTCAACTACTTTGTGGAAGCAAATGGGTTATGAATAAATAAAAGCATTCATATAAACATAAAAAAAAGAATTGACAAGCTTGAAATGATACCATATGAGGACACAGGATGTGTACTTGGTTTCCTACTAATAGACATCTTACCCCCCAACCTCAGCTGAATTGAACAACACACTGAACCAAAAGAAGTGTTTAAAATTTTAACAGAAACAGCATGAAAAAGGCATAGCTAATATTCTCATTATCCACAGAAAATCAAAAGTCCTAATTTGAAGAGAATACATTAATACTGATTTTGGAAGACAGATGTTGGAACCGGCACTGGCAAGAGTGGGTCTATTTGCTTCTTTTTTTTACCAAGGGCAATTAATGAAAAATATTTTTGTTAACAGAAGTACTCGTTACACTTTCAACTTCACATATTGAGGCAGAAACTGGGCAATAGCAATACCTTTACTACGTGGATCCAAAACTGAGTTAGCTGGTCTTTTGGACATGCTTGGAAGCACTGAGAAGCTTGAAAATCCAAGATGAGGGCTATGGATCTAAGGCCCATGTACTTACCTGTCTCCCCTTCTGAACAACATTCTCTGAGTACAGCAGGAGTTCCTACAATGGGATGAGATTCAGAAGATCCTTGAACCCTTTGAAAATGAATGCAAAGATTTGTGTTGTGTACTTTTTTTTTTTTTTTTTGATGAGAGAGCATCCATAGCTCTCAGCAGATTTTTGAAAATACTTGTGATCTGGAGAGGTCAAGGACCAGTGATGATGTCAAGGCTAGTGGATTATCTAGCACAGTGCCTTGTGGGTAGTATGGGCTCAATAAATATGTGTGTGAAGCTGAGATTCTGTGCTTCCCGGTCATAAATAGCTAAGTGAGCTGTAGGACCAGGTCTGAGAATTTAATCCCTTTAAATTTTGATCTCTTCACTGCTCATTTAAAAGGGAGTAATAATACCTAACAGAATACAGTAAGAATTACATGAGGTAGAATAAAGAATGCCTGACCTATAGTGGGCACTCAGTCAAGGCAGCTATTGTTTTTGCTCTTGTCAGTTAAACTGCATTTCAGGCAGAATTATCACATACCTGTCAGGGCCGATTCTCATCATAACAATTTTTGTTGTTCAAAATAAAATAAAATAACTAAAAACCTAAACAGTTATTCGGATGATTTTGGAATGTTACAGAGACAAATACAAAGTAAAAACCAAGGCAGGAATTTACCTGCGTCGCCCAGGATTAGAGAGCAAATCGAGCTGACCTCAGGAGAATCGGGCCTTGTTTGAAACTCTTCCGATCTCTTCCACCTTCCCGCTTCCTCCTCGCTTCCGGCCTCCATCAACGACTACGTGCACACGCACGCAGGCACGTGCCAACGCACGCATAAACACGCACGCGCACGCATACATGTGCACGCGCACGTGCACGAACTTTCGGAAATCTCTCCTGAAAGTTAGTGGCAATCTTTCGGAACCCGTCTTTAAGATGTAGTTCTGAACTCAGTCGCGAACTGCCCTAACTTAATTTCTCATAGGGTGTCATGAAAGGAAGAGTAACAAAGGTGTCAAATTTGATACCGCTTATTCTTTGACTTCTTTTTCTCCTGCTTCCATATGTGCAAAAATAATTTTAAAGATTTTTTTTTTTTTTTTTGCTTAACCAATCAAAATCAATACCTTTTCGTGTTGGTGAAGTTGCCGACTGTGGGCTTGTGTGTTTGATGCAGTTGCTCAACTTGTATTCCAAACTTGTTTCCTTTGAAAATCTCGCATAATTCTGTGAGACAAAGCTATGTAAAATTAAAAGTCTTTTTTAAAAGTAGGCTTTTTTTTTTTTTTAATGTTTATTTATATTGAGAGAGAAAATGCACAAGTTGGGGAGGGGCAGAGGGAGACTCAGAGTCTGAAGCGGGCTCTGGGCTCTGAGCTGTCGGAGTCAGCCTTGGAGCTCGAATTCACCAGCCGAGAGACCATGACCTGAGCCAAAGTCAGATGCTTACCTGACTGAGCCACCCAGGCGCCCCCAAAATAGTTTTTTTTTTAATTTTTTTTATTTTTAAGTAATCCCTACGCCCATCGTGGGGCTGGAACTCACAACCCTGAGATCAAGAGTCGCAAGCTCCGCTGACTGAGCCAGCCAGGTGCCCCACTAAAAAATATTTTTCAATCTTAAGAAGGAAGGTAAGCTACAGTGGACTGAAGTGTCTAGATTTTTAAATGGATGCTTACTTCTTTTTGAAAGCAAAATTGGAGGTAAGATGGGGCAAAGTTGTAGTTGAGCTTAAAATTCTGTGGTGTAAGATATTGGAGTCCACCTATTCCAAACCCCTAGTAGACCAAAAAACAATATTAAAATCCAGTGGTATATGAGCCTTACTCCAAGTAAGGCTACTGTTTTCCCCTCTCGCAGCCATGGATGATGGCAGGGCTAGAGTATGATAGGCTCACAGTGTTGCTCTATAATTATTTTTATTAATACACATTAGCAAGTTCGTTTTTAGCCCACTTTCTGGCTGCTCCATCACTCGCTGGAGAGCTCATTTTTTTGCACCATTTATTTCTGAGGGCCTTTGCACTCACCTGGTTGAAATAACATATTGCTGTCAAGCTAATGATTGGCATGGACCCACATTTCCAAAAGTGCTTGTTCTGTGGGTTGTTAGTATTCTCTGGGGGAAACTGTTGGTGTTTGAATGCATTTGGAAAGTACCGCACTGAACAAAGCATATGATTATTTCCTGCAAGACTTCTCAGAGCCTTTAATATGCTAATGTGTTGCATGTGTCTCTAGGAGTGGGGTAAATAACATAAGTCATGTTTTCAGAGCTTACTTGACTGTGTAACTTTCCATCTTTCTGCAATCCCAGCATCTGAGAATGAGTAGGGATTTCAGTTATCCTTCCAGAGATATTTGCATTTTAATAAGAGATTCTTAAAGAAGAAATTATATGTTGAGCTCCTTATTTCTTTTAGGAGGTACAATCTTTAAGGGCAGGAAAAAAAAGTCATTTATCTCTGAGTCATCAACAATTAGCCCCATACCATGCACAGTTCCTGGCACATAGGTTGAATAGCCTCTACGTTTGTTAAATGAATACACAGACTTACTTTCTGGAAGTAGAATTTGAGCCATCAAAGGCAACTGCATTAATCTTCCATTACCCTTAATTTTTAAAAAAATCTAGTCTACAGTTCTGGAGCAAGACTTATTTGTAAAAAAATGATAAAGAAAATTATTAAGAAAACATATTGTCACATGTTTTCCTCCCTTGCTCACTAAAAAAAAATAATCTAATACTTACTAGCTTTTGTGAGGCAGAATCAGTGACTTTGGTAGAGAAAAGCAGAGCTGGAGAGGCAAAAGTGGGGAAATTGCATAGGCGAGGGCCGAGATTTAGAAGTATCGAATAGAAGTAAAGAGGGTGTAGAGGGAGGACAGAACCAGAGAAGTCTGGTGGCAGGGACAGTTCTTGATTGGGAGTTGAGAGTGACAGAGGGAGAAGGATTTGGGGTGAGGAACAGAAGTGGCTGCCTTTGGATGGATAATGAGGGCGGCATGCATGGGAAGAAGGACTTTTGGGATATTTCCTGTGTAACACATACCCATATCAACACCCACACGTTCCATTTTGGACGTTTCATTAAGGACCAAGTAAAATCTGAAAATTTTTTTTAGATATATCAGTGTTCCCTCTTGGAATTGCCAGCAGAAACTGGGCAACAGGGGGTGCCTAATAATATTCAGATTCTACTACCAAAGGACAGATGCAAGTGAGAAACAGGACCCCAGCAAGTTTTCCATTTCTCACGAGAATGGGGGCGTGCTCATTTGTGAAAAAAACTGCATGCAATTCTCATTATCCACTCCCACCTTACACCTCCCCAGTGCTACACCAAAACAAGAATGTGGTTGTCTTTCTTAAAGTTTATTTTTAGTTGATTTTTCAATACACGTACAAAATCAGGAAAGGTAACGGAAAGCTATCTTTCAGTGTACATTTTCCCAGATGCCATAAAAACAGACATGTGAAGGGGAATGTATTAATAACCCTTGTGATTTCGTAATCACCATAAGCAACCGCATCAGCCGGGGACAGCTTTCTCTGGTACAAAATACCTAGCACTGCAGCATACATTTACTAGGTCTCACTAGGTCTTACTAGATTCTGAATAATCTTGGGTCAATAAATACTTTTGGTGGTCTCAACTGAGCTGCTCATGACATGACTGTACTTGATCCCAGTACGGCCACCATGTTTGCCCAGGCAAGTATGAGTTCCCCAAACACTGAGATAGCAGGGAAACTTTTCTTTGCCTGGCAAAATGGTAGGGGAATCTGCCTGTGCCTGGCTGGGACTACCTAAAGCTGCCTAGGTGATCTGCTACCTAAAGATTTCACCTACCTCAGAAAAGACACCTGACTTTAGTCTTTATTACTTTGAGTTAACGTGCTTATTGGAGCAGGGCTTGCTGGGCTCAGCAGGAAGAAGGAAGATAAGCTGAGCAGAACATGACACCAAGTTTAATTCACTTAACCCTAACCTCTGTTGAGCAACTATTAAGCACCATGACGTGGGGACACAAATACCAAGAAGATGAATACCTTACCTTATAAGAGAAAAAGAAAGGAGGAGAAGGGTAAAATGGGTTGGAAGAGAGAGACTGAGATGAGACTGAAAAGGGAAAGAGAAGGAGATAAGATGGAGAGGAAGGTAAGGCAGAGAAAAGACAACTACATGGAAAGGGGGCAGTAAGTTAAAGGCAGAGGAATGACAGAGAAAAAGTTAGAAAATGATAGGAGAGACAAGTAAACGAGGGGGAATGGTCAGAAATTACCCAAGAAAGGTCAATATGAAGAAAATGTTGGGGGCTCTAGTTTCACATCTTCTCAAGAATGGCAAAATGTTGCCCCGTTTTCCATGTTCTTAATCTGTGTGAATTAAGAGTGGGAGAAAATTGTGCTTGTAGAGTTATAAGGTGCGTAGGCAGACTTAGAAGGTTTACACATTGAGTCAGTAAGCTAACTTAAAAGATTATCACGGGTTTTGCTTTTGGAAGACTTTTCTAGGCGGAGCGGAACCCAAAACTATATTCACAGTAAACATATAATAAAAAAGGCAATGGGTGTTTCCTTTCTTTGTCATGCAATTTATAAGTGCTTTTTCCTTTCTGGGAAAGAAGTGTTTCTCTAGTGTAAGTTGAAGCAATTCATCGTATTCAGTAATGTCATAGTGGCTATAAGTACTCACTAGGATGTCTCCTTGAGAAAAGAAAGGGTGAAAATGGTAGGTTAGAGCAGGTCAAATGGTCTGTTGTTTATATTTGGTGCATTGTATTATTCAGTGAAATTTTTTTTAATTTGAGAAAAAAAATGTTTGGCATCTTTTAAATACGTGGTTGAGAGTGGAGTGTATCTAGGTGTTTTCTGAAATGCACAACTGACTGTGCCACATGTTTGGGAGAACTAGTTTCTAACCCCAGATCTCCTGGGCAGGTGTTATTTGAAGGTCAGTATCTCTACTGATAAAATACAGGTAGTTTACCGTTGGCCACTACCTGTGGCAGACGGAACTGGAGGTGCTGGGGAATGCCATCAATCATGCTATTATAAGCACTTAAGACTCTGTGGGGTGAAAGCAAATTGGTGGGCAAGATATGTTGTCCCATCTCCTTCCATCTCTTTCCAGGATCTGGAATGAAGAGAATTGCATCTTTTGCCCGGCTGTACTCAACACTAAAGCCTTCACCAGTAACAGCAATCACGCTGGTGGGATTTGTTGCTGGGGGAATTCTGTGTGCTGGGAGCTGGAGGGAGGCCACCAATCCATTTCACATACATTATTTCTCCAGGAAACACAGCATAATTGAGGACAATTTTCCACCATGAATTGCATCATTAGCTAACACAGGGAAAGTGAAATGCTGTTAACTTTTCTTTTCCTTCTGCAAAGCTGATGAGCTGAAGAAAACAGAAATAAAAAGTTTAATGCAATTTTTTTTTCTAAGGATATATGTTGAAAATCAGAATCAAAACACTTTTACACGGTAATAGAAATCCCACATTTTAATACATTGCCATGCACATAAGGAATCAAGTAATGCTGAATACAAAATAGTCAAATATACAAAATGATAAAGCAGATTTTCAGGCCGGATAGAGATCATGCTCACAGATACAAGGGGGCAAAAATCTGTACAGTTCCATTTCTATTGATTTAAAAAGAATCATGCCCCCCAACTCTTTTTGACGACAACCCAAAACAGAAAGAAACACTATAAGAAAATATAAAGGAGACCCAGAGGGAATTGGCAAGTTGATAGCTGCGTAAGATATGGAGATCGTTGGTGCAA